TTCTGATGCTTTCCCAGACCGAATTAAGTAACTTAGAAAAAAGGGTAAAAACAAACATTGATGTGTTTTTTTTTATCTAAATGGATCACCTACGATAAACAAATGACCAACACTGGAGACTTAAGCTGCATTCAAACTGCAGATTCTTCCTAAATCAAAAAGTAAAATTTCTCTACACAGGTTTTTAGGATATCAAGCCTATTTGTATGAGGCATAAATAGTCAAACTAAAACATATATTTTGTGTAACTAATCCTATCCAATCATCATTCCTGGACAACTTGAAAAGCCATGTTTTAGGGTTTTCCACAGCAGACACACGCTTTCCTCAACGCGTGTTTGACACAAACGCGTAACGTGCAGATTCAGGCGAATGTGGCTTGTTGTGTAATAGCTGTTTTAGCGGTAAACATGATTAGAGAAGTGCATGCGCTGTCTATTTGAGCGGGTGATAGTGTATCAGTGTTTGAGCCCTGAAGATGGATGCACCTTCAACACTTTCACAGTTCAGCTGTAACAGGAGCCATTCTTTAAATCAGATACCTTTTATTTTGGCTACAGCTGACTGACTCGTGGTAAACTTTAGATGAGCAAATTTGTAACAGAAGTATTCTCTCCCACCATGTTGCTGGTTTACTTTCAAACAATGTATCTGATTCAAACACCACCAGCCTGCATCTACTGACCCTTGTAAGAAGATTAATGCACATTTAGCTGTTAATTGACAGAGTAGTGCTTTGGTGATGTAGGCAGAGAAATAATTTCCCAACTGACCAGAAAAAAGTCAGCTTTTCTCTTTTAAACTGACTGAATGATTCTTGGATGAGATGGGTACATTCATTTAATTACAGTTGGCCCTTGGAAAATGAGTAAATTTTTTATCATTATGTTTTCTAAAGTTTGGTATAATTAGATATGACATTTTTTGTTTTCTTTTATCTAATTCAATCATGCTTTTTTTTTTATATCTCCCTGTTTAATTCGCAAAAAACCCTCACTGCTGTGGAAATTGCTGTTATTCTTAACCGTGAGTTTGTGCTGCAGTTTGAATGAAAATAGCCTGAAATAGCTTTTTCCATTACCAACAAAAGGAGCAGACATCATGACTGCAAACTAATGCACCAAACTGCACACCTCATGACAGGCTAATGGAGGACTGTGTGTGACAATTTAATTGGCTGTAAATGGACACACACACGCTAACAAAACACAGTCACATACATCGTAGAGACAAAAAAAGGAATAACAATTTCCTTTAAAACAGATTGCCTTCTGCTCAAAAACCCCAACTGAATTAAATTAATACAGATAATAATGAATTGCAAAACAAATTGGAGTATCCTAAGCATTATAAAAGTGTGTTTTTTAAACAGAAGCATAAGTGCAATCACTGGCAGATGAGAGGAAAGAACATTGAAAGAATCATAATATACATAATCATATTATACATTGGGACGGGATGGATTCTGTCTGCGGATAGTATTGATGAAAAAAGTCCTGCATGTCTGGCTGCCCGTGCCTCCTTGGATTGCAGGCAGTTCAGGAGGGGATATAAATACATAAGGAAAATAATGCCACCTACTCTGGGGTTAGATAATTACCATTCTTCAGATCATGCTGCAGGCAACATCAAAAGGCAGACATCGCGCCACAAGCTGTTTACTTTCCTTCAGGTACTTCCCTCTGTGTTATTTC